CTTTGGGAAAGCAAAAGCAACATATGTATAGAAGTGGCTTCTATACATATACACTTTGGCGGTAGGAACAATAAGGACTTGGAGGATGGGCGCCGTTATAAGTTATGTTAAGGTCCGGTCATACTTCTTTACTGAAAAATGTTGAGAATATGATGAATGTGCTCCAGTTTATATGAAAGTCATCCGGTTTGCATGTAATTCGTTCGATTTATTGAAATTCGATTTGAAATGTAAGCAGTTATGGTTGGATAGCCGGCTTCCGCATCATTGTCCAGACGGATATGGTGTCCGATTTACGTTGGAGATACCCTTATGAGCAATATGCAGAGTACAAGTTCGTACTTGACAATCAGCACCGTGTTAAACCCCTAATAAAGAGAAGAAACATCGCATGCATGGGCATGCGGCCTTTCTCCAGAGGAAAAAGGAGTCTCCTGATACTTTTTATCAACATACACTTTGGGAAAGCAAAAGCAACATATATAAAAGTGGCTTCTTTCTCCACGGCACAACGCCGCAAAGGCAAACAGAGTAGGAGATCAAGAGAACCATGGATACGCTTGTTAAGGGCTCCTTTGATTTAAATGAATTTTATAGGATTTCTGAAGGATTAAAATCCTTAGGATTTTTTCTTATGTTGGTTCTTTAATTCATATGATTGAATCTCATGGGATTTTTTTCCTATGAAATCTTTTGTATTACATTTCATAGGAAATCTAACATCCACTCTAACCTCTTTTTAAAATTCCTCTGTTTTTCCCGTGCCATCAAACACTCATTGCTAATTTTATAGAATTCAAGTGGACATGTCACTCCAACCCTATACTTTTTCTATTCTTACGTTTCGAAAATCCTACGAATCAAAGAGGCCCTAAATCTGCGATAATTGTGAAGTGTCCGGTGCATGTACCGCGAGGTTCATGAACCGAGAGCCGTGAGAACTAAGCACACAATCCCATTGGATTTCCTTGCCGGGGCGTGCGCCTGTGTCGTGTGTCCGTGACCGTACGTAGACACATGGAGAATTTCTTGATGCTTCTCCGGGCGGCAATCGAATGGCCACGTACGTGATAGTTAGCTGAAATCCCAATGACTAGAAGCGTGTAAAAGCATGAGCGTGATCCAAGAATCAGACTGCAAACACCGGAGAGTTGATATATAGTCCGGGTACAAATTACAGACTCATTGTTTAGAGCCTGTTCGAAAGCTCTATCGACTCTCAACTCCGCTCCGTGCTAGGAGCTAGGAGAATTGGCATGGACTTTGGTTACTGAATCTATGAGGTATCGGGTGCATATACGTTGTACCACGACGAGATTCACGCAACAGAGGCGCGAGAGCAGAGCACAATCTCTCGGCTTCGGGGAGATTGGATCTCTTGTCACTACCTTCGTTCCCGTGTGTACGTGACCGGTGATACGTGTAAAATTCTTACCATAACTTTCCCTGCACAGGCCTCCGGGCGGCATTATGTTATGTGTTCGTTCATGCACCTCTGGATCCACAGAACTGGAAGTGAAAACAAAGGGTGGACCTCCGAGGCAAGTGTGCCCAAGGGCGCGTGGGCGTCTGCTCTTATTTGCCCAACAGGTCTCGCAAGTGGCTAAATTTCGTGTTTTGACCATTTTCCCAAACCTACTCGACATCTGACCCTAGTTTGAATTTTTTTCGAGATCTGACCCTTTTGCTACCGCCAGAGATCATGAAGGTAGGGTATAACAGCCTACCGCCAAGGACCCTGGCGGTAGGGTTGTATGCCCTACCGCCAAAAACCTCCTAAGTATTGAACATAGTGCGTGTCCGTGCCTACCGCCAAGCACCTTGGCGGTAGGGTTCTGCAGGCTACCGCCAGCCCGTTTGGCGGTAGCGATGTTTCCTACCGCCAAAGTCACTGGCGGGGGACCCTTTCGCCATGGACTCTAGCGATAGTAAAAGGGTCAGATCTCGAAAAAAATTCAACCTAGGGTCAGATCTCGAATAGGTTTCAGAAAAGGGTCAAAACATAAAATTTAGCCCTCGCAAGTTGCAGCCGCCGTGTCCTCCGGCCGCTGCCAGGGATCAACGGAGCACCGGCGAGGCCAAACGGCAAATGGCTCGAAACTATTGCCGTTTCGGTCGCCTGCCGCGCGCTGTGATGCATATATATAACTCTATGCAAATACTGTATGTGACTTGGCGACTTGCCCTTTCCTTTATTTTACTGGGTTGGCACATCTCTCTTGAGGTCGAGTCCTTGATGTAAATATCTCTTTATTGTACTATCTCTGTCTTTCCTATAAGAAAAATCTCATATACTACTATTTTGAGATAGTTTTCTCCTGACTTAGGACACCTCTAAAGTCATTTGTTTCTAGATTTCATTACATAATTATATGTACCTTGATCCAGGATTTTTGTGTGTGCAAAATTCTCAGTTTGAATCCAATGTGTATTTCTTATCCAGGATAAAAGTGTTGCATGTTCTAATACTAATATATTTGATAGCTGGATTTTTAAATTTTCTTACAGTTTCAATGAAAAACATTCGCCAAAAATGTAAAAATTACAATAAATGGTAATGACGTTTGGAAATTAAATATATAATATAAGTAAGTGTCCTTTATGAATGCATGGGTTCGTCGACTAATTTTTTAAATAATAAAAGGTAAACGCTTCCACCTGGCGCGCCGGCCGAGTCTTCGACCGGTCGCTCGCGACACGCGACCTGATTCATGGCCCCGCACCGTTTCAGCCCATGTGACACTGGACCCACACACCGCCTATGACTTCACGATTCTATCCACACGCAAGTCTTCCTGGCCACACAATCCACTCGCTGCGTCTTCTTTGTCCACGGTTCCACGCAGAGAGCATCGCCTCCATCGCCCCCTCTCTCTTGCAAGCTTCCTCCTTCAACCTGCCAAGCCATGGCGAGGCCTCGCCTCTCTCCTGTAGGACCGCTGTAGGGTCTTGGGTTGCCTTCATGTACACCACCCCCAGGAGAAAGAAACCAGGCGAGGAGGAGAGGGGGGAGGTGGAGAGCGCCTCCCATGGCTGCTCTGAAATCAATAGAAGGGGGGAAGAAGAAGGGGTGCTGCAACCTGCAACTCGCGGTGTTGGAGGCTGCGCCGCGGCATGCTGGAACCGACGACCGAAGTTGTTGCAAGGGGCGACAGTGAATTGCGGTGGCGACGACAGTGCTGGGATTTGCTTCATCCGGCACCCGGAAAGCTACCGTCGGCGACCAAATTTGCTGCAACTAGGCGATGGTGGGCGTGGCTAGTGACGAGAGCGCCATGTTTTTGCTAGAACGGGCAATGGGGAAAGCTACCATGTCATATGTTTTTGGTACAATCAGTGTACAATTTTGCTACAACCATCTTCGATTTTTCGCTTGAACCAATCAAAAAATTTGCTACCATGTTTTTTTTCGTGGAACCAGTGTATCACTTTTTTGCTGCCACCGTTTGAGTTTTTGCTACAACCAATGTTGTCAATTGCTACATCCATTATATGACAATGGCTTCAAGCAATTTACTGGGTTTGCTAGTTGCTCAAGTCGTTTTGCTGGAAACCTTTTGTCTTTTTTGTTGGAACCAGTTTTTGGTTTTGTTGCAATCCCCAAGTCAACGGTGGCAACGGCGAGGCTTTCTTTTGTTGCTGTCGGCGGCGAGGCGTTTTTGCTGGAACCAGCACCTCAAATGCACCCCGGTATTTTTGCTACATCCAGCATCGATTTTTGCTACATCGGGTATCGACTTTTGCTGGAACCAGCACCAGCGTCGGACGGCCACACGACGCCGCCAGACTTGTTGCAACCGGCCGTTGGGAAACTGCGACGGGGGTAAAGGTGAGGTCCAGGTGACCCGAGAGATGCTACAACCATTCATAGAATAGCCGCAACCGGCCGTTGGAAAGCTGCAAACGGCGGCGAACACCGGATCCAGGGGCACCGTGCCGTGCTGGAATCGGGGGCAACACCCGTGCTTCAAGCAGTCGGCGAGGTGGACCAGCCAGC